GTGTAAGATGAGAAACAAGCTTTATGTCCCTTCTGAATACTGATAAATACTTAAATTTGAATTGAAGCCAATGTAATGGTCTAAGCTTGTGTCTTCAGATGGTTCAACTGTTTAGATTTTGGCAGTGAATGATTGCAACTTGAATATTGAATTTATATAGTTGTTATAAATTTAATATGCTAGTTCTAATATTTCTATTTAAAATTAAACAGTTCAGCCTATTTGAGACATTCAGTGATTATTTCAGTGTGTATTTGCTTCTTGGTGGTCACAGGTACTTCAGGGGAGATGCAGATGTACTTGCTGTTGGCCTAATGTTCTTGATACTATTCTGCGTTTAATTTTTTGCAGCGATGCCCTGTACGTCTCTTCCAGCAGTGATGATGAATTTGAAATGTGTGAGTAATAGCACATCAGGGTTTTTTCCTCTGAAGGAGTATGAAAGTGACATGTCTAATTAGAGTGAAGTAGTTTTTATGCATTATTTTATTTCCTTGCTCCTGCTGCAAAGTACATTTTCTCCTTGCAATGCGGTGTTGGTAGCTGTATGCCACAGGAGTGTTCTTGGATCTTACGTCTCAATCCTCCATGCTTTTTGCCTTGCATTATTTGTCTTGGTGCCTCGGTTTTGTCTGTTCCCTATAACTTGCTTTCTTCTTAGACTATAGACCATCTTTGAATAACCATTTTCTCTAAGCAGTTGCTGTTCCAAACATGTCTAAACTACTCAGAATTCCCTCTTGCATGCTTTTCCTTCATAGACTCTTAACCACTTAGGATGTTTTGGGGTTTTGATAGTGGCTGAAGGTCTTGGTATTGTGGAACTGCATACTGAATTTTACATGGTGTCTTCTGCTGTCCATAACTTTGTATCTAGCCTATACATACAAAACCTGATGTCTGCACTTTTCTTTTTCTTAATAGCCTTTAATGACTATTATTTTGTGCTAGAGTAATTGAGTACACAGTAGTTTGGGGTTTTTTGCCCTGTTGCAAGAGTTCTATTTAGCTTGCTCCTTAGATGAACTAATCATGGCTCTACCACACCTCAAGTGGGTTTCAAGCTGATGAGTAGTTTAAAGGTTTATGTTTGCAGTATGTTCCTCATTATGTATTCAAGATTTGAACAGAGATGGTAGTAGAAATGGTAAGACAAGAAGTCATATCTGTTTATTTTGCCTTCTGCATACCGTTCTTCTGTTAGTCCAGCTGCTTTTAAAGCAGGTTTCTCATTACTTTAGAGTTTATACTGTGCTCCATCTCAGTGCTGTGTGAATGATCTTAAGCATTGTCAAGCCTTACTGCTTACATCCAGTTGAATTAAAACATGATGTATATAGTTCACTGCATTACTATTGGGCTTTCAGATCTGATAAATGTTTCAATACTGTCCGTTCATTAAGTTATTAGCTCCCTCCCTGTAATTTTTAAAGTTATTTGATAGTCTGCTCTATTTTTCTACTCTTTTATTTTCTTTTTTTTTTGACTCAGTCTGGGAAGCTCTTGAGGCCGAAGTCAAGTGTCAGCTCTGGTATGGAAGGTAGCTGAGAGTAACTAATTGGATCTTAGAGCAGAATATTTGAAAAGCTGCTCTATTGCCATGCTATCACTATACTGAAAATTTCAGGAAAGGGTGAAGGAAAAATATGTGCCAAGAGATGAGAAAGTAAAGGGAATTGATTTATTAAGTAGCAAGTTGTATTTGTCTGTAAGCCTTTGTCTGCTGGCATTTGTTCTTCAGTGAGCCACCTTGATGAAGTGAATTGGAAGGCAGCAGATGCCATGGTTACTTCTTTTGTGATGAAGGTAGTGGTGAAGACTGCCAGGTGCTAAAGTTGAAAATAACTCACTGCTCCAAACACTCTTTGAGCTTCAAGTTCCTGAATTCTTTTTTACCCTTCCCCCTGTGCTCTTCTTCAAAGATGATAACATTCAGTCCCATGCTCTGCTTATGGCACAGTGCAAAAGTTTATAATCCCGTTGAAGTCATGCATGCAGCTTTGGACTGGGAGAGCAAACACTCCTTAAGTGCTCTTGTGGCTAGTTGCGTTTTGATGAAGGGACAATGGTTTCCTTTCTCCCTAGCCTGATTTATGCTTTAATGAAGTTTGTTCCCCTTCAGCTTTCTTGAATCTCTCATAATAATTGTGTATGAAATTTTGATGGCATTTTTTTAAGACTCACTGCTTCAAGCATGTGCAGTTACCACTGCTTGAATGGTGTTTTTGTTGTTAGCAGTCACCACAGTATTCCTGAAGTGATTAAAATACAGTGGGGTATTGTTACCATTTTGTTTGACTTTTTGGGGGGGAGGGGGATGGGTTTTGGGGTTTTTTTGGGGGGTGGTGTGGTTTTGGTTTTTTGTTGTTGTTTTTGAGTCTCTTACTGGAATAACCATATGGACAACTCTTTGCAGCAGAAAAGCTATTAACCTGCAGGTACTGAAATGCTTGGAGAAAATATTGATAAACCCATTCAATTCCATCCCCAATGGTCCACATATATGAGAAGACTCTACTGGATACTGCAAGATACATAACAGCCCTTCTCTGGCTTTGGGCTGCACAAGGATTGATTATGAAGGAAATGCTAGAAAGCTGCTGTCAGCTTTAAGGAATTGAGAGTTGGAATTATATATAAAGGATTCTTATGTTTGGTAGCTGTTTTAGTTTTTTTTTGTGTGTGTTTTTTTTGTTGTTTTTTTGTTTGTTTGGTTTTTAAGATTTTAGACCAAATTATTACTAAAATTTTCTTCTTAGAAAAGCATAACAAAAGAAATGGAACCTTGTTCTTAATGATGTTTTCTTTTTTCAGTTTTAGCTAGAATGAAAACTCCAAAATCTGTTTCAAAAAAGGCATACGTGAGGTGGGTGCTGTAATTAATGGCTTCTATATATTAGGTTTCTGTATCACATCTCCTATTCAGAATACAGAAAAATTAGTAGAAGTTTTAGTGGCTCATAGGCAGATGTGTTTATAGGAGTGAGCACAGACAGAAGTTGGTGTTCAGTTTGTATGTTCAGGTCAAATGTAAAATGGTGTGTTTGGAGGTGTACATGCTCTGTTGCCATTCCTATTAATGAACAGGGTTGGTAACATTTGCTTAGAGCAGCTGATGATGTTATAGTGTGTGTTTTTTTTTTTTTGTTTGCTTTTTTTTTTGCTAAGGCATACTTACTCTTGTATTTTCCTGTTTATGCCTCCCCTTTTTCATGTTATTTGTTCATTTTGCAGTTTGAAGGACTCAATCGGTGATTTGGATGATTTCTGCTTGGACTTGAAAGTGAGAAAAAGCCCAACAAAGCATGGCAAGTCAACAGCAAATACAGAGAAGGCATTTTAATGGGTGGAAAGTTAGCATTCATTTCTGAGCTCATAAATTTCTGGGAGATCTTGTTAAACATAAGTTCACTTTGTCTCTTGCTTGAGGCTTTTCTGTTTCCCATGGGAGTAAAAGAAGAAAGTATGCTCATACTGTTCTGACAAGTATATATTTTGAAGCATTGCTATAGATCTGTAGATACAGACTGTGATCACTATGAAGAGAGGACATAGGATATGCAAATTAGTGTTCCAGTGGCTGTAGTGGCTCATTCTGTGGTCAAAAGACACTGAGTAAAGAAAGGAGGTAATTGTTGGTTAGCTAGATACCTTTGATTCAGTGCACGTTTTGGCCAAGGTGTTGCAGAGCCACAGATAATGCTTTAATTTGGAGCTTCTTTAGCCAAGGTCCTTTGCGTAATCCTGTTAACACTGGCTACAAGATGCTCAAGCAAACCATTACTTGTGGGGCTTCAGTGCTTGTCTGGGCAGAGGATCCCTGTTTTCCCCCAAAGGATGGAAAGTGTCTTGGTTTACAAACATTCAGAGCCTGACTACACCTGTCTGGTGCACTTCCAATTGATAAGTGCAAGCTGGGCTTCAGTAGAATGAGTGAACAGGGCTGTGGAATTCTTCACACAGCCAGTAGGCCAGTGATCAGGTGATAGAATTTTGGTAAATGAGGGATAATAACAGTGATCTCATGTAAACGTGGAGAAGCTTTGACCCCTGATGAAGAAGGATGGGATTGTTTGCAGCTGGTGAGAATGTCAAACTTGAAACATGTATACCAACTGCAGGCTGTAAAAAGCTATTGGAATGGTTTCTGGAAGTGAAGTGGAGGAAGCACAGTGCACCAGAAGCATCATTAAAATTAAAAATAAGTCACCAAGAGATCTGACCTGATCCCTTGTTCCTGATAGGTCGAATTTGAGATGTTAGAAGCCTTGTTTGTTGGTAGATGTGCGGTTTGTGCTGTAGGCTATGGTCTGATCTTCACTTGGTGGTTGTATAAAACTTTAATATGAAATGTTCAGCTTCTACATGCACATAGCTTTTGTTACTGGGAATGAAAATCATGCCAGCATTAGTTACTACTTAGAATTGTTAGGCTTGATGGCTTAGGTGTACATGCATGTGGTTTAAGGTAATTAAAAAAAAAAGTATTAAAAAAATACATCTTTTGGTGACTTTCCATTTAGTATGACGATAAATGGGCAAGGTATAACAAAGCAAATGGGAAGGTATGTTTCTATTCTTTGTATTTACTTATCTTTTTCAAGGACTTTTTTTCTTTTTTTCTGTTAAGACAGAGGTAAATTTCCTAAAAGAAATTATTAAAACTTTAAGCTGTTTCTTTTGAATTGCAGGACAGAAGGATCTTCAGACCACGAAGAAGTGGATGCCTTCTGGAAAGAAAAACAGTTGCTGTCAGGAACTGCAGTATCCAGAGGCTTCAAGTGACACTGATGATTCTGTCTTTGTAGAATCTGACTACCAGAAAGGGTGAGTAAAAGACCTGAAAGAGAGTCAGAAATGGATAAAACTCCCACCTCCACAAAATCTAAGAGAGTCAATCTCCAGAGGCAGTCCAGACTTGCAACCCAGAAGGAGAGAAAGGAGCTGTGAAAAAAGTACAGAAAATAACGTGCCAACTGTGACATTACAACAAAGTACAGAGATAGAATCAGATAGCTCGGATGGTGAATTTGAATCATTAATAGAACAGATAAGGAAAGGAAGTATAGCTCAAAACCTTATCTTAAGCACAAATAAAACTGTCCACCAACCAAGCACAAGAGGTGAGCAATTGTTCTTGGCGGACTTGCAAGCTGCTGACAGCAGTGGTGTAGTGCTGATTGCCTAATTATTTTCATTTGTGTGGCATATGTTTTAGAAGTGCAACCCAGTATCTTGCACTTGAATTTGATGCAATCAGAAATTATTCCTCTGAGTACTGTGATTCTATTAGTCTTGTGGTATCAAAGTTTAAGTTTTTCAGCATTGCTTGTTTTTATAATTCCTGTAACTGTAGTCATTTTAAAAATTGTTCTTAAAAAAAAATCTAACTGGTGGTTTTGAATGATGTTCCCCAGCCAACAGAGAAAAGGCCTACTGAAACCGCAGACCTTGAAGCAGTCCTTGATTTCTGGTGTGAGGGTCACTCATTTTACTAGTCTGTCCAGATGTGGAATGGGGATATAGGTAGCTATCTGATCACAACTTGATTGTGAAACAAATAATGTGACTTACGGTACATGACGGAAGGTTAAAGTAATTTTTTTTCTTCAAATGGTGTCTCTGCATTACTGCTCCCAGTGTTCTGGTGGTGTATTTTGAATTGTGAAGTGTTACAGAAATACCTAAGTGAGGTCACAAATGCTTTTCCCTCCAGTTCCTCCTAGCTGAATGTTTGAAAGCTTGACGTCTGCCACTCCTTCATAGAATGTCAATTTTTGTACTATATAACAGCAGATTACCTTTCCCTCAGTTGTATAAGACTTTGTATTCAAGTATGCACAGTAAGAGTGTGTGTGCTGAGGTGGAGTATTTAACTTTTTCATCTTTGTCTTACTTAGTTGCTGATGTCTGTGTTCCATATTCTTTGTAATCCTGTGACTCTTTCTGTTGAACTAGAAAATAACAAGTCACCCTGTGAAGATGGCCAGCCTTTGAAAGGGAAGGGAGTCAAGACACCAAGGCCAAATGCCATTTCACTTCAAGAAACAACTTCCAGGATAATGGCTTCTGCAAGAATTCCTAGGAACAAATTGGCCAGTTGCTCCCAGTCAGCAAAGACAGAGAAAAGGTAAATTTGTTTTTCTGTAGGTTATTTTTTTTTCCTACTATGTTCTGTGACCAAATATAGATGGACAAATAGATGCTAAGCATTTTGCTTAGGATGACATTCTGATTTTTCTGGTACCTAGAAACTTCTGCTACCAAATTACCAGTTGTTAAGTAGCTGTACATCAAAACTTTCAGTCATGGGTGTAACAGGGAGAATATAAACTAATCTCTGCTTAGAGGAATTAATGACTAAAAAATGTGGCAAATACCAGATCTTTTTTGTAAATGGTAGCTCTGTTGCTATTCCTTGTCTTGGCACAGCATACTTCTAACATGGCTGGCCCTATGCATTCTATTTATCCATCTGATATTTGTGACCTCACTTAGGTCACTTAGACGTTTCTGTGACACTTCACCAGTTCATTTAAGCTTTTCAGGAGAACATCCTTTTCATTTATGGTGGTAGCTGCCTTTGTTCTCCTTTTAGCCATGTGATGTTTCCTTTAGTCATTTAATGATTGTTTATACCAATGCAAAACCTTTAAATGGTGTCTTCAAAGCTGATACTTTGTCAGAATGCTGCAGTATTGGAGTTGGTAAAATACCTGCTTCCCCTGAGTTAATTCCTGAGGATTCCCAAAAGGTAAGGGGGATGGAGCGAGGAGATGGCTGGTCTCTTCTCCCAAGGAACAAGTGAGAGGACAAGAGGAAACAGCCTTAAACTGTGCCAGGGGAGGTTTAGACTGGATATTAGGAACAGTTTCTTCCCCAGAAGGTGCTCAGGCATTGGAACAGGCTGCCCAGGGCAGTGGTGGAATCACCATCCCTGGAAGTGTTCACGCACTGTGTAGACAAGGCCTGCAGTGCCATGGGCTAGTGTTGGCCTTGGCAGTGCTGGGGAACAGTTGAACTTTATGATCTTGAAGGTCTTTCCCAAGCTGGTTGGTTTAATAATTTCTCTGTTTCTGAAAACACTCTTTATTGTGGGTGATCGTGTTAGGGCTGTTCAGATATGGATCAAGTTTTGGTATAATAATGGCTCACTGTGTCACAAAGATCTGAGCTACCCTCTTTTCCTATTTAGGAGTCCTCATAATCTAGTTTTGTGAATTAATAAAGTAATTTCAGAACTGTTGATCGAAGGAGGTGATCCTGCCCCTCTCCTCTGCTCTCATGAGACCTCACTTGGAGTGTTGTGTTCAGTTCTGGTGTCCTCAACATAAAAAGGACATGGAGCTGTTTGAGCAAGTCCAGAGGAGGGCCGTGAGGATGATAAGGAGGCTGGAGCACCTCCTGTATAAATATAGGCTGAGAAAGTTGGGGCTGTTCAGCCTGAAGAACAGAAGCTGCATGGAGACATCAGAGCAGCCTTCCAGTATCTGAAGGGGGCTACAGGGATGCTGGGGAGGGACTCTTCATCAGGGACTGTAGTGACAAGATAAAGCGTAATGGGTTAGAACTTAAACAGGGGAAGTTTAGGTTAAATATAAAGAAGAAGTTCTTTACTATGAGGATGGTGAGGCACTGGCATACGTTGCTCAAGGAAATTGTGAATGCTCCGTCCCTGGCAGTGTTCAAGGCCAGCTTGGATAGAGTCTTGGGTGACATGGTCTGGTGTGAGGTGTCCCTGCCTGTGGCAGGAGGGTTGAAACTTGATGATCTTAAGGTCCTTTCCAACCCTAACTGTTCTATGATTCTGTGATTCTGTTGCAACAGCTCTGCTCCTTCATGCCCCTGAAGGGGGAAGAAGATGCTATAAGCCGGTGCTTCCCACTGCCTCCTGAGGGCAAGCCAGAGAAAGGTCAGGAGAGCTTTATGTCAGTGGCAGCATCCCAGAGATCTTTATTGGCTATGAAGTGGCTATTATTTTTCAATTTACTTCAGTAAACTGCTTTATGTTTTTTCTTGCAGGCTCCGGGTGTGCTCAGTGCCTGGCTGTTTCTTGCAAGATCTCTCAAATCCAGGTTCCCACTGTGTGAGGTATTTTAAGAAAAATAAAGAGGAGCTGGCATGGAAACTCTACTGTCTCTATAATAGCACCATCTTTGACCAGAAGGTTGGCTTCAAAACAAAACCTACAATTTTAAAATGTTAAAATGTTGCTTCTTGCCTTTTGATGCGATTGCTCTTTATCCTCTTCAGTTAGTAGAAGCTAAGCAATGGCTTATGTTTGAATTAGTACAAGCAATTTCTTTGAAAGGGTTTTATTACCACTGTGGTGCAGTGGTTTACAGCTTGGCTTGCTTTCCCAGCTGTAGCGGTGTACCATCTGTAAGCGAGCAGTCTGGATGTTGTCCAAGAGTCCTTGATGAGAGAAACTGCTACATGAGGGGCCTTTGATCCATTTCATCTTTGAATGGGTGACTGATACTTATTTTCATGGATTTTATAGTACCTGCAAGGTTATCAGCTAAGCAGCCTGAGAACGTTTTTGTTGCTACCTCTGTGGTAGTAGACTCCAGCAAAGGCAGCTATGGCTTTGCTGCTGAAAGAAGGTTGCATACCACTGTTGCTCATTAAGCTTTTACAGAAGTAACATGTACTAGTGAACTCTTCGGCATTATCATAGCCTAATAGCTAATTGTAACACAACTTTCTAGCCTCCAGCTGACAAAAGGCAAGTGGTGGGAGCATATGTTGGGGATAAGGGAGCTAGCTAATGAGTAAAAGCTCTTCCCTTTGTTGCTAAGGCATGTCATGCAACATGCAGATTTCGTTCGTTCCTATTGCATGTTCATGTTTGCCATTCTGGAATGGACAAAAAAGCTGTTTATTCTTTGACTAACAGTTTTGGGTGAACCTAAAGCTGTAAGCTGTGTTCAAATTGAAGATTCAATTTCAGAGAACTGCTGTCTTGACCTTTAAATCTTCTGGGATACTGGAGATTCTCCTTTGGTGAGAAACATCTGTGAAAGGAAGGATGCTTCTCCCAGTAATTCCAATAGCATTTCCTTCAGGAGGCAAAAGGTGTCTGTGCAGCTGAGAAAATGTTGTGGAGCTGAGCAAGGACACATTGAGGTCATGGGAGCTGAGCTGATCAGGCTCACTACTGCTGAAAGCAAAATATTTTGATTACCAGTGCTTCAGCCGTGTACCTGTACTAGCACTTAGCTACTTAACTACTGCTGGACCATTTATTTAAGCTTATTAACTAATTTGGATGACAAAAAACCTGATAGTAAAAGAAGAGTTAACTGAGATATTATGAGGGGTTATCAAATCAGGAGCAGCACAGAGAATAAGCAAGGGATGATTATTCACCCTCTCGCAGTGTGAAGGTGTGTCAAATTAAAATGGAAAGTTGCAGGTTCATAACAACCAAAGCAAGTGGTACTTGACCTCTAAATTTTTAAGCAGTAGAGCTTCTGATAGGAGACTATAATTGTGGTCTGTGTGCTAACCGTGCACACGTTTAAGAACCTACATACATGTACTCCCCAAAACACCAGAAAACACTTCTAAGGGCTGTTTAATAAAGAGGAACCACCTGTGCCTCAGTGAGGTGGTGTCTTGCAAAATGACTAGCAAAAATAAAAGTCATCTTTTTTGAAGAGGAAATTTTTATGTTTCATTGCTGACCTTGTATTTCCTCTTAAGCAGCATGTGTTAGCCACTGTTGGAGGCAGAATAGAGGAGCCAAAGGACTTTTTGTCTCATCCTGCATTATGAAACTCCCATGTGTTGGTTACAGAAAAACTGATGATGGGAATGACAAGGAGGAGGGTGGGTTTGCATCTTGAATGACAAGAGTGTTAAGGGCACTAACAGGCACATCCTTTGCTGGCTTTGCAGTAAATATAAGGGGAAGCCAGAGGTCCGGAAGGAGAGATGTAGGAGAGGGCAGATTACACATACTGTTTTGTTTTGCAGTTACCAGACAAAATGGAAATAATCTGGAATAAGAAAATGAGAAAAACAGCAGGATATTGTGTAACTGGGCAGACAGAAGGTCCTGAAGCAAAGCGTTACGCTAGAATAGAACTTTCTGAGAAAGTCTGTGACTCTGCAGGTAGGTAAAAGAAAAAATACATTGATTCTTCTGTGAGAAAGCAAGTTCTAGAGATAAAAACATGAATGTGAGGCTTAATTGATATGGAACAGGACCCTGCTTTGATATTTCATATTATCTTAAATAAATAATTCCATTAAGTGTAGTACTTGTTTTCACAACCCTTCTGAGAGGCTAGACAACTTTACAGAAATGTGAGAACAGATACGTTAATGCTAAATGCAATATTTTGCTTATGTTATTGATTTGAAGAACTGTAGGTTACTCATATGTACTATAATGGCAATCTAAAATCTGACTCATCCATCATAACTAGCCACCTTGTTGGTCGTATTTGAATCTGGAATAAAGATAGGTCAGTGTCAAATTAAGTTCTGTTGTGTGGTGGGTACTGTAACTGTTACTTTTCCCTCATCCCCTCTCAATTTGGGGAACTTACTGTTTCACTTACCATAGAAGAACTAGTTCTATAAATGATAGAATATTTTTAAATAAGCTTAATAAATCTTATCATATCTCAGATCATGAGAGATCATAGTATCATAGAATCCCAGACTGGTTTGGACTGGAAGGAACCATAAAGAATATCCATTTCCAACCCGTTGCCATGGGCAGGGACACCTTCCACTAGAGCAGATTGCTCCAAGCCCTGTCTAGCCTTGCCTTGAACACTGCCAGGGATGGGGCCACCACGGGTTGTCTGAGCACCCTGTGCCAGCATCTTGTCACCCTCACAGGGAAGAGCTTCTTCCTAATGTCTCATCTCAGTCTCATTTCAGTCTCCCCTCTGGCAGGTGAAAACCATTCCCCTTGTCGTGTCCCTACAGGCCATTGTCCAAAGCCCCTCTCCAGCTTTCTTGTCGGCCTTTTTATTTATTGGATGACTCATAAGGTGTCCCTGGAGCTTTCCCTTCTTTAGGCTGAACAAGGCTAACTCAGCCTGTCTCCATAGAAGAGGTGCTCCAGAACGAGCATACAACTGCTCTGGAATTACAACAGAGTTCCCTGGGAATCTGCTTTTGAGGGCTTAGTAGTCCACAAGTGCTCATCAGTTTTTAAGATGTACCTTTTAGAAGCAGGGGAGCAAACAGTCCTGTGTTGTAAGTCAAGCAGGCAGGGCAGGAGACTAGCTTGGATGAACAGGGAACTTCTTGTGGAGGTCAAGGGGAAAAAGAAATTGTATGATCTCTGGAAGTAAGGTCTGGCTTTGCAGGAAGGTTACAGAGCTATGGTTTTTATATGCAGGGTGAAGACATGAAAGGCCAGAGCTCATTTGGAGGTGAAACTGGTCAGTGTTGTCAGATAACAAGGAAGGCTTTTTTTAAAGTACGTTAATAGCAAGAGGAGATCTAAAGAAAACATTGGACTGATGTTTGTGATCAGACTTAATAGGGATGAAAGAAAAAGAAGAGGTATTCAATGCTACTTTTTGCCTCAGTCTTTACTAGAACTGTCAGACCTTGGGCTGCTTAGCCTCCTGCGTCAGAGGACTACAAGTGTGGACACTGAAGTTGTAAAGAACCAGCTGTATGTCCGCATACATGTCACAAGTCCATGAGGCCTAATGGGATTCACCGCACAGTACTGAAAGAGTTAGCCAAAGTTATAGCAGGACACCTCTTGATCATCTACAAAAGGTCTTGGGAGCCTGGGGAGGTCCCTGCTGACTAGAAGACAGTCAGTGTTATTCTGGTTTGCAAGAAGGACATGGAGGAAAATGCAGAAAACTAGAGACCTGTTAGTCTAACCTCACTTCCTGCAAAAATTATGGAGATGATTGTATTGGGTACTGTTGAACAACAGTTAAAGAGTAATGCAACTTAAGACGCAGTCAACATGGGTTCACGAAGGGAAAGGCCTGTTTAACTGATTTGATATCCTGCTATGATAAGGTCAGCCACTTAGTGGATGAAGGAAGGCAGTGGATGTAGTTTTTTTTTGTACTTAGTAAGGCTTTTGATACTGTCCCTCACAGCATCCCTCTGGACAAATTGTCCAACTGTGGGATGAATAGGTTCATGGTTTTCTGAGTGAAGAACTGGCTGAAGGGCAGATCTCAAAGGGTCGCAGTACGTGGAACTACATCTGGCTGGTGACGGCTCACCGGTGGTGTTCCTCAGGGTTTCATTATAGGGCCAGTCCTGTTCAATATATTTATCAATTATATGGATTCAGAATTTGAATGCACCTTTAGCAAGTTTGCTGATGATACCAAACTGGGAGAGGTTGTGAACTCTTGAGGGAAGATGGCCTTGCAGAGGAATCTAGCTAGATTGGAGCATTGGGTGATGATTAATGGGATGAAATTTAGCAAAGCCAAATGTTGGATTCTGTACCTGGGATGAAATAATGCTGGGCACAAGTATAAACTGTGAGAGGAATGGCTGCAGCACAGCTCTGCAGAAATGGATCTAGGGTGCTGGTTGACAGCAGGGTCAGTAGGAGCCAGCAGTGTGCCTTGGCAGCCAAGAGGGCAAACTGCATCCTGGGGTGTATCAACCCACAGTATAATTAGCTTGTGAAGAGAAGTCACTATCCTGCTATATTTAGCTTTGGTGTGGCCTCATCTTAAGTGTGTGTGGTTCTGGGCCGCATAACATAGTAAGGACATGAGGTACTTAAATGCATCCAGAGGAGGGCAGCAAAGCTGGTGAAAGGTCTGGAAGAAATGGCCTATGGGGGTGACAAAGGACTTTGAGTTTGTCTAGTTTGGAGAAAAGGAGGCTGAGGGGTGACCTCATTGCTCTGTACAGTTTCCTGAAGAGGGGAATTGCTGAGCTTCTCTCTCTGGTATCTAGAGATAGGCCATATGGGAATGGTTCAGAGCTGTGCTAGGAGACCTTTAGACTGAACATCAGGAAGCATTTCTTTACCATGAGGGTGGTTAAACACTGGAACAGGCTTTCTAGGGAGGTGGTCAATGCAACCCATGCCTGTCAGTGTTTAAGAGGCATTTGGACAATACCCTTAATACTATGCTTTAACTTTTGGTCAGGCAGTTGGACTAAGTAATCACTGTACGTCCCGTCCAACTGAAATATTCCATTCTAATTGTGGAGAAAATTTAGTGCTCTACTCTAGTTGTTTCTGGAGGAAAAATATCAATGTTACAAAAAAAAAATGTCAATGAATCTTGGTCTATATAAAGGTGTTTAGGGTCTCATCTAAATAAAAAAAAAGAAACAAAAAAAGCCCAACAAAAAACAACCCAGAAAACAAAACAACAACAAAAAAAAAAAGCCCCCAAAACCAAACCAACCAAGCAGAAAAAATCCCAAACAGATTAGGTGTGTAGGGAAGTAACTAGGATGCAGAATTAAGGCTAATCACAAAACTGGAAATCCACTGAGTAAAATCTTGTTTTGGGACATTTTATCTGATCAAAACACTGGTAATTCCAACCTCCAAAATAAGTCATAGAATTGTAGAATGGTTTGGGTTGGAAAGGACCTTAAGATTATCTACTTTCAACCCCTGTCATGGGCAGGGATGCCTCATGCTAGACCATGTCACCCAAGACTGTTCAAGCTGGCTTTGAACACTGCTAGGGATGCAGCATTTACCATTTATTTCGGCAACTTGTTCCAGCACCTCACCACCCTCACAGTAAAGAACTTCTTTGTTAGATCTACCCTGAACTTGCCCTGTTTAAGTTTGAACCCATTACATCTTGTCCTATCACTGAAATCCCTGATGAAGTCTTGCATCTCTGTAAGTGTTAAAGCATTGACCAATGATGAAAGTCTGTACTTCCCTGTACCTGACTGATCTCAGTATCTTTTGTTTGCCTTACCCCAAGATCGTGTTCGAGATACGCTAATTCATGAAGCTTGTCATGCAGCCACCTGGCTGATCAATGGTGTTCGCGATGGACATGGACGATTCTGGAGATACTATGCCAGTAAATCAGCTGTGATTCATCCAGAACTGCCGGTAGTAGCACGTTGCCACAGCTATGAGATTAATTACAAATTCATCTATGAGTGTGATCTGTGCAAAGCTACGTGAGTAATGTTTTGGTCTTGCATATGACTGTGTATTAACTTTGTCTCAAGTTTGGCAGTCTCCTATATCTGGAAATGATGGGTCTGTTAAATTGGGTTACTCTTGAGTTGTCACTTCACGCTTCCTAAGCCGTCAGAACCTCATTATGCCATTCCACATGTTTGTTTTCAGGTAGTCTCAGTTTTATTTCAGAGGTGAGGACAGGCTGAAGTGTCTTCCGAGAACCATTGGTGATGATGGAAGGTCTTTGAGAAGCAGTAAGAGATCAGAATATGTGCCTTAGCTTTTAATGACATGGCAGGAAAAGGTCACCTCATGTGGCTGCTCTCACCTTTCAAACGTTGCTCAAATGATGTAAATTTGGATTCACCTTCTACTGTAGTTTATATTGAGTGAACTTGTGAAAGTTTTTGACCACTTAACTCTGATGTCATGATCAGTTGATCCCATTATAGGCTTTTTGGTAGGAGGAATATTTCCACTCTTACCTGAGTACTACATCAGACAACCAGCTGGGTTCGAAATGACCTTTAAGATCAACTCTAACTGTTATCCCAGGACTGCCAGGTCCACCTCTAAACAATATCAAGAGTAATACTTGTAGGCCTATACTGATAGAACAACGAATGGATCTGGCACATCCCTGTAGAATGCATGTAAGTAAAATACTAGCATTTGTTGCAGAAATGAGCCATTCCAAGTTCATTTGACATCTGTTCACATTTTACATTTTAGAAAGTAACATCTTTGAATGTTACTTTGAATGTGCCAGGACAACAGTCTAGGTTTGATCTAAGGAAAAGCAGTCCACAGGGAGTGCTAGACATATCATGGTCGATTGAATTGCTTTTTATGTTTATCCTTGAAAGATACTGAGGAGCATCTGATACTGAAGGAAGTCAGTAGTAACTGGAATTTAAAAGCAGAACAAATCCCCATAAAAACTAGGCACAAAATGTGTCACAGTATTTAGATACTAGAATAAAGTACCAGTATAAAGTTTCTGGGATTTGTATCTTTGAGTTGAATTAAGACTAAACATTTTTCCTACTCTTGTTATAGTAGTATTAAGTAAAATTTAGAAACCAACAGTGTAATGATTTCTATTGGTTTAAAACTATAAAACCTGTAGCCAGTTTTCTAGTTGATCTTTTATCTCATGGACTCTTTCAGCTTGTGTATCTATTAAAGGAAAATAGATATCTGCAGCCACACAGGCATCAGCAGCACTGTAATGTGAAGAACTGAAGTTGGAGACATACCTACCTATAGATTGCAACACTGGTCATCAGACTTCTGTCTTGCTTACTGCATTTGTTAAATGAGAACTATATGTGCTGCTGAGATCAAGCATAAGTAATAGTTACTATAGTAATTTCCCAGGTTTTTTAACTTTCATGGGTGTGGAAAGAGTCACCTTTTCTTGGAAGATCATATGCAGTGACCTTGGTCTCAGTGGGAGAGCATGAAGTTTAGTGAATTCAGTTCTGCATAGCCTGGGAAAATGGTTGATAATGGTGTGGGGGATTTTAATATTAAAAAAGAATAAATTATCTCCCCCTCCCCCCCTCCTCTTTAAGGGCTAAATTTATCCTTACAAAGCATGCATGGAATTTTTCTTTTTTTTCCATCAGGGCCATGCGTGCTACTTCTAGAAGTGCCAGAGGGAAAGAGTATTTCACATATAAAAGAATCTTCTGGAAGTAGTTAATATGGTTATGCAATGCATTAGTTACTTAGATGCAACAGAGCATTGAGAAGATTCGAATACCTAAAGGGAGCTGACAAGAAGTTTAGAGAGGGACTTCTCACAAGGGTCTGTAGGGACAAGACAAGGGAGAATGGCTTTAAGCTGCCAGAGGTGAGATTAAGATTAGACATTAGGAAGAAATTATTTTCTAAGAGAGTGATGAGGCCCTGGCACAGCCTGCCCAGAGAAGCTGTGGCTACTTCATCCCTGGAAGTGTTCAAGCCAGGTTGGACAGTGCTTGGAGCAACATGGCAGGGGTTGGAACTAAATGAGCCTTAAAGTTCTTTCTAACACAAACCATTCTATGATTCTGTGATAAGATTTCATGGTGATGGCTTTGGGGAGAAACTTGAAGGAGGGGTAGTTCATACATGGGTTGTGGGGGTGTTTTGAATTGTTGCAGCACTTTATACTACTAGACTGAGAGTAAAAGAGACACAAGAAGGACCCAAGCTGAAAAAGCAGTGGAAAAAGTTCTAGGGTAGAGAAATGTATAATACAGATTTGATTGTTCCACTGTGTGAAGTATGTAGTCTGTTCCTTGTTCTAAAGTACTAGCTTAGAAATCTGACCTAAGTATCCTGGCAGAAGAGAAAGGAGCCCTTTCCTCCTACAAGTACTGTCTGCTGCAATTGTGAAATCAAAGTGCTTATTTTTCCATTTCAGGACTGGACGTCATTCCAAGTCTCTGGACACAGAGCACTTTGTGTGTGCATTCTGTGGGGGGCAGCTGGTCCTGAGTCGGCCCACTCGGAAGGGTGGCACTCCTGCTAGGACACGTCTAATGCCCTTTGCAAAGCATGTGGAAGAAAAGTATGGACTTATGAAGAGAGAGCAGCCTGGGCTGAGTCCTGCAGAAGTCGTGCAGGAACTCTGTGCTAATTTTGCTTTAAAAACTAGGCTTAAAGATTCCTTGTAATATCTAAATACACTCCTTTTTTGATGCTATTTAGATTTTGCATGTAGTAGTATATAGCATTAGTCTAAGAATGTGTTTCGGAATATTCCAGATAATATTTTGGCATTAAATACTTCTAATAAAGGAAACCTTACAGATTGTTCTAAAATTGGCAGGAGTGAACAAGAAGTGTAATGGTGATAGAAAGTCCATGGCAATACACAGGTCAGTCTTAGACTTCAGATAAACATCAACTGTGCCTGGGAAAATGCAGTTCAAAGCCCTTCATGGGACTGACTTGTTATGTTTGGAATTTTCTGAACGGTATTTACATGTAGTGCTTCATAGCATGTCTTCAGTGTTTCCAGTGAGCAGTGGATTTACTCTTTCATTTGGGTAGCTGATACACCGTAGACTCTGTGCTGAAGAACTGCTAGGTATTCATCTGTCCATTCTTGCTTGGATGCAAGATGAATCCAGGCCCAAAAACTAAAATCCTTTGGTTTGTCTGGATGGCTTCCAGTGCCACGCCTGAGGAAGGCGTCAATATGGGTTCAGGCATTCTCCCATAGAGTTTCTTGAGTGGTTCTTGGCTGTTTTTTGTTTTTTTTTTCTTGGCAATAGGTAAGTGATGCCTCAAATCTGTCAGAGAAAGTGTGAGTTTCTGCACAGATCTCTGGTCTGTAGTGAGATCAAGCCTTGATTGAGTTTTAGTTGCCTTTATGACTGAGATGTCATAGAAGCCAATGAACACAAGTATACGCTGTTGCCTGCTATATAACACTTCTATAGCTCATAAGTTAGATGCCCGTCTCCACCACTCTGGGCTTTGAAAAGAAGGTATGTGCCGTCATGATCATCAGCAGAGAGTGAAGTTACGGGAAAAGCTGGCAGCAGCAGCAGGAGTCTCCCAGAACTGTCCTCAGGTCACCATCGACTGACCCTGGCTTCCCTCCAGTCAGCACCTCAACAAGGAGTGAACAATGATGAAACCAGATGAGCTGAGCAGCAACCAGATGAGTTCTGCAGTGTTGTCAGCAGGCAACAATCCAACACTACACACCGTCTCTCCTGCCCTGAAAGGCTGTTAATGATAAATGGAGCCTGACATCATGGACTGAATTAATACAGCAAATTTATGGGAATGGTCCATGGACTAAGGAATGATATCTGTCTGTGTATGTGTGTGTGTGTGTATATAATATGGAATAAGAGGTGGATACTGTCCTGGTTCAGTTGTAACAGTTATTTTGTTTTCTCTTTCTTAGTAGCAGGTGCAGTGCTGTGGTTTGGCTTTAGTCAGAGAACAGTGCTGTAACACACCTATGTTTAGTTGTTGCTCAGTCCAGTCAAGGACTTTTCAGTCTCATAGCTCTGCCAGTGAGGAGGGGCACAAGAAGCCAGGAGCAAGCAGCGACAGTACACCTGACCTAAACTAACCAAAGGGGTATTCCATACCACAGCATGTCATGCCCAGTATAGAAACTGGGGGCAGTCACCTGGAAGGCCCAGATTGCTGCTTGGGTCAGGCGGGGTATTGGTCTGCAGGTGCTGAGCAATTGTACTCTCTTCCCTTGTTATTTCCCTTATCATCATTATTACTGGTGGTAGCAGTAGTGGTGTGTGTTATACCTTAGTTACTGGACTGCTCTTATCTCAACCCATGGGAGTTACATTCTTTTGATTCTCCTCCCCATCCCTCTGGGAGTGGGGAGAGGAAGAAGTGGGGACCGAGCAAGCAGCTGCGTGGTTCTGTTATAGGCTGGGCTTAAACCATGACACCCCCAAATCTGTTCCCTTGCCTGGAAATGTACTTTTCTGTTACGGGATCCCAAAGGAAATAAACTGCGAAAAGTGGAAGAAACATCCAAAATTTCTGGTGACAGCACAGCTACTGAAATGGAGGAAGGGAAGAAGAACAAAGCACCCAAGAAGCCGAAGCTTGTCCATGAGATCCCCATGGAACTGAGTGTAAATGATGTGCCTGACCTGCTGGAGGACGAAGTGAAGAGCTCAATGAAAAAGGACGTTTAGAGTGGCTCTGCCAGGTTAAAGCTCCAGGTAAAGGAACTGAATTGCTTCGGAATTGGTAATGGCTCATGTAGTGCTGCCGTCATCAGAAGCTGATGCATATGATGTCCTGCTCAGCTAAAGGTGCTTGCTACCTTTGATTTCTCTTCTCTTTGTGTGCTAGATTCCCAGACTTGACAATCAGAGATCTAGAGAAACAGGAAAGAGAGAAGTCGGCCAGCAGCTTGGAGTCATTCATCCTTGAGGCCTAGGTAAAAGAGGGATATAAAGAAATGAGAATGCCTGGAGAGCAAGTAGAAATGTCTTGTGCAACTTGGCTGAGAATGCAGTGGAGTTGTCTGGGCTGGGGTGATTCGGAGAAAACTCCAGGAGCAAACTTGCCAACAAAGTTTTCAGGTTTCAAGCAGGTATTCGTTATTGTGGCGCCCGGAGACACGGGGGTAACTCCTCCTAACGTGTGTCCCCATATTGCTACACAAGCCATCCTTATATAGTCCCTGGGCATACATACATATTCATGAGGCTACATATGGATTACATCATTTTCCAGAGAGTTCCCTGCATGAGTACAGAATTGTGGTGGTGGTCTCTGAGGGGCCTTTACTTCTTCCAACGATCTTCATCACCTCTGGCAGCCTTTGGAGCACGCGCAGTAGATGCTCATACCAGTTTAATTGGTTCGTTAGCACCAGAGACATAATAATCCTCCCATCCTCCTACTTATCAGTTAGTTTAACTGTGGCCCATCCTGGACACCTGCAGTTCCCAGATACCCCTTATCCCTGTGTCCTGTTCTTCTAGACTGGTTTTTTTAAAATTATGTCAACTATAATTTATCTTGTACAAGAATTCTTAGTATGTTCTCTAGATGTACTCCTTTTTTTTCTTGTGTATCATGCACCTCAGTAATTTTCCATTGCTACTGTTACAAAGCCATCAAACTTAACATTACTTAAAACTGATTCTAAAGGTTTATATATTCCATTTTGTAATTTTGTGCCCCCCTGGAACCGACCGGACTGCAAAAAAGAGGCTGCACTGGTGAAGCTAAACCAATCAGAGAGGCGGAAGGGCGGTGCTCGGGGTGATTGACGGGCGCCTCATCCAACGGGGGCTGCGGGTTGCATGCAAGCTTTTTCCGGTGCCAGTGCCGCTCCGCCTCCTGCAGTACCGGCTTTCGGCAAGAGGATGGCAGCAGCTAACGTTGCACTGAGCCACTCTTTTGCCCCGCCCCATCTCCGCTGCCTGCAGTACCGAATTTAGACTCACGATGGCAGCAGCGAACCGTGCCCTGCGCCACTCCATGCTCCCCCCCCCCTCAATTCCCCACCACCTGCAGTACCGAGTTTGGACACACGATGGCAGAAGCGAGCCGTGGCCCGCGTCCCCCCATACCTACAGCACCTGCAGTACCCACCTCTGGACACGTGGTGGCAGCACACGGTCACTTTTCGGTACCCAGGATGCAAAGGGCTGAGAGCAGCGGCCGCTCCCAGCCCACTTTACATCCCCCGGGGACATCAACTGTCGACTGGGGACCTGAAGACTTTGCAATACCGGGGCTGGGCTAAGGTGCTAAGGGAACTTTTATTAGAGATTCTTTCAGGCTTGTTCACTTTTATCCCTCTGTGCTTGCGTTGCAGCAGTTTACAATCACATTCTGCTCTTGCGCTCTTTATTCTCTTTATGCGTTTGTATGGATTTGGAGTTTTTTTTCAGCTGTCCCTGCTTTTTAGTCTCTTTTACTAACTCTTTTTCTGAGCGTCCCATACCTAAAATGACATGAGAAACGGGCAAAAATGGTTTAAAACAAATTACAAATGGTCAAAAATGGAATAGAAATGGCCCAAAATGGATTAAAATAGGTAAAAAGTGGGTAGAAAGGAGAAAAAATGGCTTAAACCGGGATAGAATCGGGCAAAAAAGGGACAAAAATGGCCATGAATTGTTCAGACATAGCCAAAAAAAAAGCTTTACATGCGTTAGAAATAGGAAAGATGGGTTTAAAATAGACAAAAATAGCTTAAAACCGGTAAGAAAAGGGCAAAAAAAAATGGGATAGAAATGGCCCTAAATATCTTAGAAATAAATAAAAATGGATTAAAATAGGTTAGAAATGGGGAAAAATGGGTAACAAAAAAATGGCTTAAAACGGGTGAGAAATGGGCAAAAATGTGTTGGAAGTGGCAAAAAATTGCTTAGAAATGAAGAAAAATGGTTTAGAAAGGGCCAAAAAGGCTTAAAACAGGTTAGAATGGGACATAAAATAGCTTCTAGCCACAAATGGCTAAAAATGGCATAAATCATGTTAGAAGTGGCCAAAAATAGGTTAGAAATGGTCAAACCCGGCTTAAAACTGGGGACAAATGGGCAAAAATGGGTTAGAAAAAGAAAAAAGTGGATTAAACTGAGTTAGAAACAGGCCAAAATGAGGTGGAAATTGAAAAAGGCTTTAAACGGGTTACAAGTGGTCAAAAATGGCTCAGAAACGGCAAAAAGAGTTTAGAAATAGCAAGTAAAAGCTTAAAACGGTTTATAAGTGGCCATAAATGCATTAGGAATAGCCAAAAGAAGCTTAAAATGGGTCAGAATTCAGCAAAAATGGGTTGGAAACAGCCAAAACCAGTTTAGAAATACAAAAAAAAAAAGCCACAATGGCTTAAAATGGGTTAGAAATTACCAAAAATGGCTTAAACCAGGTCAGAAAAGATCAAAAAATGGTTAGAAGTGGCAAAAAAAAAATGCGTACGATGGGTTTGAAGTGGCCAAAATTGAATTAGAAATGGCCAAAACCGGTTTAGAAATGGGGAAATAGATGTAAAACGGGTTGGAAATAGAAAAAAAAATGGCTTAAACTTGTCAGAAATGGGCAAAACCGGGATAGAAATGACCATAAATGGCTCCTTCTTTCCCTCCCTCCTTCAATCCTTCCTTTTTTCCCCTCCCTCCTTGCTTCCCTGTCTCCTTTTTCCCTCCCACCTTCCTGCAGAATGAGAGTGAATACAACAGCAGAGGTTCTGAGACAATCGAATGGAAGAGAAGGCAAGAGTACGACTGAATATGGGGAAGAGAATAGAAGGGAACAGAATCCAAGAGATAACTGGAGAAGAGCATCTAGGGGAAAAGAG